TTATCCAAAGTACTTTACTTTGCAGTCACTCTGTAAATTAGCAAGCATTTATTGAGTATCTTCTATCTTGTAGCCCACTGTTTCTCAACTTTTTTTCATTAGCACTCTAAGTAGAAAAATTAAATTAATTAAAATTAAATGTGTTTTTCTTTTTTTAATTGGATACTCTGTCAGATTAAGTGACTTTTTTTTTTTTTAATCTTAGTTTGGTAAGTATTGTTATCATAAGTGAGTATTGAATTTTAGCAAATGCTTTTTCTTCTCTCAGAATGATTACATGATTTTTCTCTATTTTTCTGTTATTAAGGTGAATTACATTTTTTTCTTTGGAATGTTAAATCACCTTTGCATTCCTAAAGTAAACAACATTTGGTTGTGATGTATTCTTCTTTTCATATACTGTATCAATTGCTAATATTTTGATTAGGATTTTGCAACTAGGTTCATGAGAGAGATTAGTTTATAATTTTTCTTTTTTGTAATGGCCTTTACAAATTTAGGTATCACGGTTATGCTGTATTTCTAAAACAACGTGGGACATGTTTCTTTTCTATTTCATGAAAGAGTTGTTTATAATAATATTTGTAATATCTGTAGTGAAACCTTTTGCCATTGAGTTAATTTTGACTTATGATGACCCCATGTGTGTCAGAGTAGAACTTTGCCAGGCCTTTCTTTCCACGGTGTCGCTTGGTGGATTCCAACTGCCAACCTTTTGGTTCATACCCTAGTGCAAACCTTTTGCATCGAGTGATAATTTGTGTCTTTTTTTTTTTGCTTCATAGCTTTTGCCAAGAAGTTATCAACTTTACTGATTTTTTACAAACAACAATTTTTGACTTGATTTTTTTCTATTTCATTAATATTTACTCTATTATTTCCTTCCTAATCCTTTTTTTTCCTCCTTTAAGATTAATTGGCTGTTCTTTTTCTAGTTTTTTGAGCTGGAAGCTTACAGCATTAGTTTTCTTCCTTTTTTATTTTTAACAAATACATTTAAAGGATTTACATGTTTCTGCAAGCACTGCTTTAACTGTCTTCCATAAGTTTTGGTATGCTTTTATTATCATTTAGTTCAAAATGTTTTCTAATTACTGTTGTGATTTTTCTTCATCCTGTAGATTATTTAGATGTGCATTGCTTCATTTCCAGAGAATTGGGATTTTGAAGTTTATTTTTGTTGTATGTGTGTTATTGATGCCTGCCTCATATATACTGTAGTTTGAGAAAATACTCTGAAGATTTTAATCCTTTGGTATTTATTGAGGCTTGCTTTATGTATAGTCAATTTTGTGGCTGTTTCGTGTAGACTTGGGATATATATTCTGTTGTTGGGTGTGGTGTTCTGTGTATGTCAATTCAGATTTTTAATTGTATTGTTAGATCTTTTGCATACTCAGTGATTTTTCCCTGCTTTTAAAAAATGAGCCCTTGAGAGATATGCTCAAATTTCCCACAATTATTGTGAGATTTGTTTATTTCTGTCAGTTTTTGTTATATATATTTTGAAACTGTTATTGGATATATATATAAGTTAGGAATTGTATCTTCTTGGTGGATCCGTCCCTTTATTATGGTAAAATGTCCCTCTTTATCTCTAGTATTATTTCATTAAGGTCTGTTTTGTCTGATACGGTATAGCTACATTACCCTTCTTTTGTATGTCTTTTGTAAGCAGCATATAATTTTTGAAAAAATACTATAAGTATTTTGATTGTGTTGTTTCGTTCATTTACGTTTAATGTAATTACTTGTGTAGTTCTTTTTTCTTTCTACCATCTTACTATTTTTTTTTCTATTTGACCCAAATGTTTTATATTCCTGTTTTTCTGCTTTATTTATTTAGCCTTATTATGGTAGTCTTAGAGGAATGCATAGGTTAATATGGAGTGACACATATTATTACAAACTATTACAGTGCATTTTAGTAAAGACTATATAGGGTACTGACAAGCACTGAGAAGTATTTATGCCTTCCTTGAGTTTAGGGACTGCCTCCTAGAGGAGATAACCCCTGCATTAGAAATTTAAAGCAAGTTAGAAGTTAGTGAAATGAAGAAAGGAACAGTTTGTCAGGCAGAGTGAATAGTACTAGGAGGTTGTACTTTACCCTCTAAGCAGTGTGTGCCACTGAAGATTTTCAGGCATCATGATCATATTTATATTTTAGATAGATCATTCTAGTGACAGTGTGGAGAGTGAATTTTTTGGAAGGAGGGTTGACTAGACTGGCAATCAGAGAGACCAGTGAGACTGTTAAAAAAAAAAAATCAGTTGCCATCTAGTTGACTCCAACTCATGGTGACCTCACGTGTTGTAGGGTAGAACTGTGCTCCATATGGTTTTCAAGACTGTTAGCTGTTTCTGTTCTTTTGGAAGCAGATCACTAGGCCTTTCTTTTGAGGCCCTCAGGGCAGGTTTGAACCACCAACCTTTTAGTTAGCAGTTGAGCACTTAACTGTTTGTGCCACCTGAGGCCACTACAATACAGGCAGTCCCCCGCTTTACAGCGTATTTGAGTTATGATGAACCACAGTTAATGACCATCTTTTTTACATTTTATCATTAGCTACATTACATACAGTGTTGGAACACTAATTTGCTGATGTTATCATTCTCAGATGTTTATATGTAATGTTTTCAACCCTCAAAGACGAAGATTGGATTTATAAAGATACTGATAATAAATCTGTTGCTGTCAAGTCGATTCCAACTCATAGTGACCATATAGGAACTACATAGTAGTTCTACAAAGGCAGAGTAGAACTGCCCCATAGAGTTTCCAAGGAGTAGCTGGTGGATTTGAACTGCCCACCTTTTGGTTAGCAGCCATAGCTCTTAACCACTGCACCACTAGGGTTCCACTGATAATAAAAGGCGATAATAATGAAAACTAAAAAAGAAAAAGTATTCAACTTACGTCAGAACTGACTTATGCTGGAGTAGTCAGAATGGAACCCTATCATAAATTGGGGACTATCTGTAGTACAAGCACAGGTGTTGACAGGGTCCTGGATTAGGGTGGTGGCAATGGAAATAACGTGGATTGAATTTAAGAATTACTTAAGAAGTTAACTTTTCAGGTGTGTGGATGGATTGAGAAGGAGGAGACAAGGATGACTTTCTAATATTTGACAGTGGATGACAATTGGTACCATTGAATGATTTATCTCTGATTTTGAGCAATTTGATTATGATGTGCCTTGGTGTAGTTTTCTTCATGTTTCTTGTGCTTATGGCTTGTTGAGCTTCTTGAATCTGCAGGTTTGTAATTTTTCATCAAATTTGGAAAAATTTTGACCATCATTTCCCTCTTTCTCTTCTCCTTAGGGACATCTGATTTTCTGAATATTATTTCTTTTGAAAATGTCTCAGCTCAATGTTGCTCTTTTCTCCCTTTTTTTAAAAATTCTTTTTTTCTCTGTGTTTCATTGTAGTTTCTATTGTTATCTTCAAGTTCACTATTTTTTTTTTTTTACAATATTTAATCTGCTGTTAATCTCATCTAGCTATCTTGAGAAGTTTAATTTGGGTCTTTTAAAAAATATCTTCCATGTCTCTGCTAAACTCTTTGAACATATGGAATACCGTTTTAATGTCTTTGTCTGCTACTTCTAACATCTGTGCCAGTTCTGTGTTGATTTTAATTAATTGATTTTTCCTCCTTGTTATAGCTTATATTTTTCTACTTTTTTGCATGCCTGGTAATCTTTAATGGAATGCCACACAATGTAAATTTTATCCTGTTAGGCACTGGATATTTTTGTAGTTCTATGACTGTCTTTGAGTTTTGTTCTGGAATGCAGTTACTTACTTATAAATAGTTTGAATCTTTTGGGCCTTGCATTTAACAGTTGTTAGGCGGTACCAGTGCAGTATTTATTCTAGGGCTAGTTATTCTTCATTACTGATGCTAGACTGTTCTGAGTACTCTACTGATTAACCCATGAATCATGAAGTTTTCCATTCTGGCTGGTAGGAACAGTCACCATTCCCAGCCCATTGTGAGTGTCAGGCACTGTTTCCTTTCATCGTTTTGAATGGTTCTTTCTTTAGCCTTGGGTAGTTTCTGCATATGATGAGCCAGTCAGTACTCTGCATATTACTCGGTGGGGTAATTATGCAAAATTTCTCTCATTTTCTCTCTTCTTCAGTACTCGGTGCTGCAAACTCTAGCAGTCTTAGTCTTCTTGGACTGTGTTTCATTTCTTCAACTCAGGCAGTCCTCTTGGTGCTGAGTTCTGCTTCTCTCTCTGCACTAGAGTCTAGGAATTCTTTCAAGGCATTAAGCTGGGGCAGTCATAGGGTTCACTTTCTTTGTTTCTCATCTCTCTGGGATTACTATTTTTTGTCATCTGATTTTCACTTTTCTTGAAAACTTGTTTTGTATATTTTGTCTGGTTTTCGTTTTGGGTAGGAGGGTGAATCCTGTCCCTGTTACTTCTTGGTCGGAAGTAAAAGTAGCGCATTAGATGATTTAGATCAGTGATTTTCAACCTTTTCTCTAAGGTTGGAACCCTTTGCTCAAATAAAATCATGTGCTGAAGTCCAGTATATGAAATAAATGAGAGCAGATGCTGGTAGTGTGATGTGTATACATTCTTACTTTTGCATGTGTGGGGGAGATAGCAGAGTGTTACCCACTTGACTTCTTATTCCCAATCCTTTAGGGTTTCACAGAAACCACTAATATAGGAATTACAAATAAGTATATTAAAAAGTAAGCAAATGAGAAATACTGGAGACAGAGTGAATAGTTAACACTAGGATCAAGGAAGACATGATGTTATAGAAATTAAAGATGATGTGTTAAACTTTAGCATTCTTTTTTGTTTAAATCTAGAATTAAAATTATAGACATGGTAGGCAAAATTGTATACAAAGGTTCTTTTATGATAAAAAGTATGTATCTTTTAATTAGTACTAACTCATTATTTTTAAGTCATTTCCTATTCCATTCTTTAAAAATAGATCATTGCTTTTCTTTCTTTTTTTGGCAGCTCTTCACAGATGGAATCACAAATAAACTTATTGGCTGTTATGTGGGTAATACAATGGAGGATGTAGTTCTGGTGAGAATTTATGGCAATAAGACTGAGTTATTAGTTGATCGAGATGAGGAAGTGAAGAGTTTTCGAGTGTTGCAGGCACATGGCTGTGCACCACAGCTCTACTGTACCTTCAATAATGGACTATGCTATGAATTTATACAAGGAGAAGCATTGGATCCAAAGCATGTCTGCAATCCAGCCATTTTCAGGTACATTTCTTTTTCCAAAAATTTTTCATTTTGAAAATGTTAATTACACTTAGGAAATACTTTTCATATGCTATTAGCGCTAACAGTTACATGTTTTTATGCTTTTGCTTATGTAATGATGTCCTGAGATTTGTAAGTGCAATTTGTAGCATACTAAAATGGCTGTTTTTAAAATGGCCTTTTCTTTCGTTGAGCAACTATTTGGTTAACTTACACACTTTCTTTAGTTCGGGTTTTTGGTTTTGTTTCATTTTTTACTGAAGGAAAAAGCAGTAATTCCCTTTTTATCTGAAATTGTAATTGTTGACTCTTTTGCAGAAGAAAGGACCCCAAGAGATTTTTGGATTAGCCTGTTGCAGAGGGTTGTGAGGCTTCCCGTATTTTTTTTTAGTGTTTGAACTGAGGTGTTGCACATTTCTTATTTCCAAGTGTTGTTTCTTAATTGCTCATATTTCCAGAGTTCTTGTTTACTAAGATTCTATTAATAATGCTAACACATCTTTGCTATTCTTCAGTTTTCATTATTAAATTCAGTATGTTTTCTATAAGAATAATGTTTTGAATAAGCTTAATCATTTTACAAAGTTGCTGTATTTTAAATTCTCTTTCTGTACTTGAAAACTCTAGTAAATTGGGTTGATTTAAAAATATCAGTCAAGTTTATAGGTTAAACCAGCAGTTCTCAAACATTTTGATCTTAGGACCCTTTTACATCTCTTATTGACGACCCCAAGGAGCTTTTGCTTATGTGGGATATATTTATCAATACTTACCATATAAAAAATTAAAACAAAATTTTAAGACACAATAAAATACCAAGCACATATTCCATTAGCCATCACAGTGATGACATCATTAGATGTCGTGTAGCCTCTAGAAAACTACACTGTATAATCTTGAGAGAATAAGAATGAAAAAGGCAAGTACTGTCTTATGAAAACCGTTTTAACCTTGCAAACCTCTTAAATGGATCTCAGGTCTCCAGGGGTCCATGGGTCTTTTTAGAGAATTGCTGAGATAACACATTGATTAAAAACAGAACGGACCAGTATCAATCATCTACCTATTTTAAACCTGTATCAAATAACATTTTTAAATATTTTGGCTTAGAAATATAATCTGAACCCTAGTGTTTAGCTGTTAGATAAAGCCAACTACAGTTTTTAGCTGTTTTATATTTAAATACATGTGTGTATATATATATATAAACAAATACCTGTATAATGGGATTAAAAAATGAATAGCTACATAAATTGGGCCAGAGGAAAAGCTGAAGTAGGTGTCAGATACAAAAATATATCCCTTAAGTCTGCTAGAGAAAAGGGCCACATGAACTTTGGTAGTATCTAAAAGCTGTTGCCGTTGAGTCAATTCCGACTCATAGCAACACTGTAGGACAGAGTAGAGTTTCCAAGGCTGTAGTCTTTATGAAAGCAGACTTCACATCATTCTTCTGCAGAGCAGCTGGGAGGTTTCGAATTGCCAGCCTTTTGGTTAGCAGCCTATTACTTTAACCACTGTGCCGCCGGGCCTCCTTGTAGTAACTGAAGCAGTAAGGAAAATATTAGTTTTAAGAGTCAGTGTCCAATAGATTTAAGAAAAAATGTTGCCTAAGACAAATGCCATTTTTACTGGGTTAGTAGTCTTAACTGCCTTATACAGCCCACACTTTCATACATTATACATTGATAATCCTAAACTGCCTTTAATATATTAAGATGCTTATCTTCCAATACCAAGTCTAAATTTGGTCTTCTCTGACACCAACTGCAAATTCAGTTATTCTTCTGACCCTAACTACCTGGAGCTAGGTCAGATTTCACAAGTTAAAGGGCATAGTCTAGGCAAGACTTCAGATATCAGCTGCAAGTTTGGGGTCTCCAGGACACCTTCACTTCTGACATGCTGGCTACAAATTTGTAGGTTCCCACTATTGACTCTTAATTCGATAATTTGCTAGAATGACTTATATAACTGAGGGATGTGCTATACTTAGGATTATAGTTTTACTATATTGAAAGGAATACAAATCAGGACCAGCATAAAAAAGAGACACACAGGTTGAGGTCTGGGAGGTTCCTAAAGGTGGAGTTTCTGTGTCCACAAGGATTTATAACCCTCCTGGTTAATTGATGTCTAGCACCAACCAGGAAGCTCACCTGAGCTTCAGTGTCCAGAAGTTTTTTTTATTGGTGCTTTATTGAATCATTGCTCACTTGGTTAAACTCAATCCCAAGTCCTCCCCCTTTGCTCCCCTGAGGTCCAGTTGATATCATGTAGTGATTCTTTCTGGCATTGCCAACCATTTCATTCAGTAGCCCCCATTCAACATTCACCTCATTAACATAAACAAAGATATTCCATTCACTTGGGAAATTTCAAGGATTTAGAGGTTACTTTCCAGGAACCAAGGACAAAGACCAGATTCTTCTGGTAAAGTAATTCTTCATCCCATATACACCAAATTTAAACTTTTATATATCAGTTTAACTGTTGCCAGTGGATATGGCTTACCTGTCAAAAGCTCAGATTCAAGAGATTCTTACCTCCTTTGACTCTGTATTCGCACGATGGAAACTGGATGATTGGAACAGTTTTTTTCCTCTTTTACTGATCATAGTGGAAAGTTATAGAATCAGAAGCTGTGTCAAAATTCTATATTAATGTGTTACTGTGATGCTGAACTGGTCTCAGCAAAGCTTTCAGACTAAGACTAAGAAGAAAGGCCTGGTGATCTACTTCTGAAAATCAGCTAATGAAAACCCTATGGATCATTACAGTCTAATCTACAACCAATCATGGGGATAGTGCAGAGTTTTGTTCCGCTAGGCATGGTGTCACCGTGAGTCGGGCCAAATTGATGGCAGCTAACAACCACCACCACAACAGCAGCTCTGTCATTAGGAGTAAAACTATGGGGCCAGTCTGCCTCGACTTTATGGGCTGTGTGAGTATCATTTAAACTTTCTGTGCCTCAATTTTCTCATCTAAAAAATGAGAATAATAAAAGAAGTACCTATCTCTAGGGTTGTAAGGAATAACTTTGTTAATATACGTAAAAAGCTTAGAACAGTGCCTTGTCAGGCATATGTTAGGCACTATACACTGTATTGTTAGCTTTTGTAATTATTATAATGTGTGTTTTTTTTTTAAGACTTTTCAGAGCTTACCAGGCTTTTACAGAGCTTTTAATAACTTGACGTTAGCTAAAACATATATTAAAATATTACTCAGATAAATTTTGGATATTTCTAATCTATTTGTTACATTTTTAGAAGCATAATTTTTGAATTTTAAAATCCAAACACAGAATTCTTTGCTTTTAGGAACTATTTATAGCTACATATTATAGTAGTCCTTGAGGTGTATGGAAACCAGCATATGGATGTGGCATAGCAAATATTTATTGCTACTGAACACCCCCCCCCTGCCCCCGCCCACTCATGACAGTACTAACCAGTCTTGGAATTATTTCCTCTTAAACCTGGATAAGACTTCAGAATACTTCCTAATTTTAGGTAATTACTACCTGTCTTAGTCATCTAGTGCTGCTATAACAGAAATACCACAAGTGGATGGTTTTAACAGAGAGAAGTTTATTGCCTCACAGTCAAAGTAGGCTAAAAGTCCAAATTCAGGGTGTCAGTTCGAGGGGGATGCTTTTTCTCTCTGTCGGCCTTCTCATCAGTGTTCCACCAGACTAGGAGCCTCTCGACGCAGGGACCCTGGTTCAAAGGACGCGCTGTGCTCCCGGCACTGCTTTCTTGATGGTATGAGGTCCCCAACTCTCTGCTTGCTTCCCTTTCCCTTTATCTCTTGAGAGATAAAAGGTGGTACAGGCCACACCCCAGGGAAACTCCCTTTACACTGGATCAGGGATATGACCTGGGTAAGGGTGGTGTTACAATCCCACCCTGATCCTCTTTAACATAAAATGACAATCACAAAATGGAGGCCAACCACACAATTCTGGGTATCATGGCCCAGCCAAATTGATACACACATTTTTTGGGGGACATAATTCAGTCCATGACTTTCTACCCTTTGGCCCCCAAAATGTCACATCCTTGCAACATGGAAAACATATTCACCCCATCATATCATAGCAAAAGCCTTAACTCCAAGTCCGAAATCCAGAAATTCCTCTTCATCTTTGAAATCTGGAATACACAATGGCCCTGCCCTCCAGACTCTAGGTATTTGGCCACACTCTTCAGATTCTGTGTGGAGGCCCCTCGGCCCTGGGCTTCAGCTCCGCCTTCCAGACCCACTGGGACAGCAACTCTGCTCCCTTGGCTTTAGGCGCACCATTCTCCCGGTCCATATGAGTGGCGACTCCAGCCTTAGAAGCACCAGAGGCCATTGCTCCACCCTTTGAAACCCCTGAGGTCATGACAATACCTTTTGATACTGAGGCAGCTCGGCTTCTTGTGTCCCTTGTCTCTTCAGCTTCTGCTTCTGTTTCCTGTGGCTTCTTGGCCCTCGGGCCTCATGCCTCATCTGCTCTGGTGGGGCAAGTGTTCCAAAGCTCTGTAGCTTTACCGGTAAGTGCCTGGAGGCACCCCACTGCACCAGGAAGCCTCCTGCACACAGGCACTCAGCTCCCTTGCTCCGTGAGTCGGCAAGCCTAGCTCCACCGATAAGTGCCCAGAGGCACCCCACTCCGCCAGGAAGCCTTCCGCGCACAGGCACTCAGCTCTCTCGCTCGTGGGTCAGCTCCAGTGCTGTCTCGCTCTGGTCTCCTGGTTCTGCTGCTGTTTGTTCTCTGCTGCTGCTGGTCCTCTGTCACTGCTGCACGTCTATCCATTCACAGTTTTAAAACTGCTTCCACATTGTAGGTATCTGTTAGAGCAGCACCCCACTCTTCCAGTACCAGATGTCTTAGTCTGGGTTCTCTAGAGAAGCAAACCCAGTAAAGCATATAAATATATATAGAGAGAGATTTATATCAAGGAAATAGCTCACGTAGTCATAGAGGCTAAAACGTCCCAAGTCCTCAG